CCAACCTTTCTCTATTCAGTGCAAAGCTTGTTTCTGGAAAATGTATTGGTCTTATTGGAGAAACTCTCAGTACAATGCCATCCGATTCTTCATAACCATTGTCATCGGTGTCTTATTCGGTATTATCTTCTGGCAGAAGGGACAGCAGATGTAAGATCTGGTTTTTTAACTGCATAATTGACGAAATCATGTTATTAGCATCTCTGTTTAATATAAATGAAAGTTTTCTTGTAACAGAACCCAACAACAAGATCTGATGAACCTTTTGGGAGCCTTGTTTTCTGCTGTGCTTTTCCTTGGAGCCACGAATGCTTCTGCGGTCCAATCTGTTGTTGCCATTGAAAGAACAGTTTTCTACCGCGAAAGAGCTGCCGGGATGTATTCTGAACTGCCTTATGCATTTTCTCAAGTAATATATAAAATTGACAAATTTCTTAGAGACCTTGTTGCACCATCATATTACTTGACTAACAAGTTATCTTCTTCTTCTGCAGGTGGCTGTAGAGACAATCTATGTTGCAATCCAAACATTCATATATACACTTCTCCTCTACTCCATGATTGGATTCGAGTGGAAAACCGGCAAATTCTTGTGGTTTTACTACTATATCTTAATGTGCTTCATCTACTTCACCATGTACGGCATGATGGTCGTTGCACTGACTCCAGGCCATCAGATTGCTGCCATTGTCATGTCCTTCTTCCTCATTTTCTGGAACTTGTTTTCCGGCTTCCTCATTCCAAGACCGGTACGTGATATCAAAATTAAGGGCCTATTCGGGATTGCTTCTGGGATGGCTGAAACGCCTACCATAGAAGCGGTTTATGGAGAAATGTCTGCCATATTTATGACAAAATCTTTTATAAGTAAAATTGCTTTTTGCGAAATCAATCCCAAAATAACCCTAAATACGCGATCGATGCTCATTGCTTCCGTTTAACCACACTATATGAAAGTCCATAGTTTCAAAAATCCACATTAACTTTGAATGTCTATCTGTGTTGCAGCAAATACCAATCTGGTGGAGGTGGTACTACTGGGCTTCCCCTGTGGCCTGGACACTTTATGGCCTTGTGATGTCCCAAATGGGTGACAAGAATGCTGACATTGTCCTCCCTGGATATGGCACCGTGCCATTGAAGATGTTCCTCAAAGATGCCTTCGGTTTTGATTATGATTTCCTTCCCGCAGTCGCCGCCGCACACGTCGGCTGGGTTCTCCTTTTCTGCTTTGTGTTTGCCTATGGCATCAAGTTCCTCAACTTCCAAAGGAGATAAAGAAAGAACCAACTTTACATACTACTGCAAATCGACTCAAGAGAGTCTTGGAGAGTTAAGATTAGCATTTTGTAAGTAATGGAGGAAAACAAACCAAAACTGTTTTCCCTTTTTCCCCTACTTATCTTGTGTAGTATTGTATTCTTTTGTAAGAGTGTTTGCTTTTGTACTAAAAACATAGCTGAAGCTGAGTGTTTGATATTAAATAACGTCATATAACTAATTCACGTGTTATAATTGTCAGAAAACTGAGGTCCGTTTGCTATATTATTACGTTTATTTGAATAATTATTGAATGATGATTGTGATAGGAGCCAAAATGCTAAAATAGACTTAAATCCATCCCTAGGAAGCTCACTGGTCTTAGGGAATTAAAATGATATAAATTGGAAGGAATTTGAAAAGTTGGATTTTTATTACAAACATTAAAATTCGGTTTTTGAAGTTTAAACGAACTCAAATGACTAAAATTCATTATGTATTATAGCAAAGCAGCAAGTTTGAACTGGGACGTCAGCGTTCTTTTCAGAGAGAGCGCCCAAAGCGGAGCTTGGACGCTAAATTTGTAAATTCATGTTGCATCCTTTTATCTTCCTCCATCCACTCGGCTATTTGATATACATCAATCACGTCAAACAGTACTATCAATTCAGTGTTCATGACTAATGTATGAATGACAAGATGATATTATTTTATGGCTTACTTGTATAACATGTCAATGTGAAGTTACTGTTACATATATAGTTTTTTTTTTGTAGCAAGCAATTAGACTTGTGTATCTTTTCGACTCTTTCCATGACTTACTTGTATAACTATCAAAGTATACGACCCTACAACTATGTCACGTGAAACGTTATATATAAGCTCTCTTTGTAGCAAGTAACTAGACTTCACTTGTATCTTTTTTACTCTTCCGATTATATTATTTTATGGCTTACTTGTATAACTGTCAAAGTATACAACCCTACAACTTGTGCCAATAACAAATGACGTTACTTGTGTATCATATTTATTGACTTTACAACTTGATTTGTGAATAATGCAGTCATGAACAAATAAATCTTCCAGGGTGACAAGTCAAATTAGGATTATCAATTCATGCCTAACCTGTGTTTAAAATATCAGTATCAGTAAAAATATCGATAAACAAATCTCTAAAAATACCAATAGATATAGGAAATATCAATATCGATATCTATTATAAAAATATCGACCGTATTGAATATATTTTAAACACTGCATCACACCGTAATTTCCAACGACTAGACATCGATTCTTTGGTTCTACTCACACCCATTTTCTCAAGATAATTGGTATGAATAAGACTCCACATTTCTCGCAACTGCATCTCATTACCCGTACCCGAACTATGAGTAACTTCAACCCAGCTAGCACACAATGCAACATCTTCAAGAGACGTCCAATTCGTACCTGCATCAGTAGTCATTTTGTTGAAAAAAATTGGATTGAAACTTTGAGAGAAGATAGGAATGTGATTGAAAGTAATTGAGAACATATGAAATTGTGGTGTAAGTTAGATGATAATGAGAAGATATTTATAGAAAAGTAGAAACTTTTTTTTTTTAATTTTCAGATTTTTTTTTCGGATTTTTTTACAATTTTTAAAATTTTTTTATTCAAATAATTAATCTATGCCGTTGGATTTAAAAAAAATTGAATTCCAACACTCCAGATTGTGCCACATGTCACAATGGTAACTTTTCTTAATTTTAAAACTATTTTTTCGTTTTTTTTTATTTATTTATAAAGCATATTAATATCGACCGTTGATCTCAAATCGAACGATTGATATTAAATAAGATTTTTTTTATTTTTTTTACCGTTGAGATCGAACGGTCCAAGTTAAATAGTCGTGAGATTGAACGGACCGTGGGAAGCCACGTGGCTTCCCAACGGTAACATTGATATCTGAAAAGTGGGCTGTTTTTTCTGAAAAGTGGGATGCTCGCACCTGACAGAAAAAAAAACATAAAAAAAAGGCCCGAAGCTCGGGCCTCCACCTCCGCTCGGGCTCCTTCACCTCCGCTCGGGCCTCCACCTCCGCTCGGGCCTCCACCTCCGCTCGGGCCCTTTTCTCTCCCATGTCCCCCGAGCAATCCACAAGGGTGGAGTTATGAGTAACTTCAACCCAGCTAGTGCACGACGCAACATCTTCAAGAAGCGACCAATTCGTACCTGCATCAGTAGTCATTTTGTGGAAAAAAAAAATGGATGGAAACTTTGAGAGAAAGATAAGAATTTGATTGAAAGTGGTTGAGAAATATGAAATTGTGGTGTAAGGTAGATGGAGAAGAATTGGTATTTATAGAAAAGTAAAAACAATTTTTTACAATTTTTTTTTCAGATTTTTTCCATTTTTTTTAATTTTTTTTTTTCAATAATTAATTTCTGCCGTTGGATTTAAAAAAATTTGAATTCCAACACTCCAGATTGTGCCACATGTCACAACGGTAACTTTTCTTAATTTTAAAACTATTTTTTCTTTATTTATAAAGCATATTAATATCGACCGTTGATCTCAGATCGAACGGTTGATATTAAATCATATTTTTTTTATTTTTTTTACCGTTGAGATCCAACGGTCCAAATGAAGGAGCCGTTGAGATCGAACGGACCGTGGGAAGCCACGTGGCTTCCCAACGATAACTGACAGCTGCTGCAAGTGGCCTGATTTTTCTGCTGCAAATGGCCTGACAGAAAAAAAATAAAAAAAGGGTTGGAGCTCGGGCTGCTGGGCTGTCACAAATTGACAGGCCCCTTGCTCGGGCCTTCTTCAAGAGCTCGAGCTCTTCATGGGTGGAGCAAGTTGACAAGCCCTCAGGCCTTTAGAAGTCCCCTGTCCCCCGGCCTATTCACAAGGCTGGAACTGCTCTAAGAGCAACTCCAGCGGATGCTGGTTGCTCGGGCGACAGGGGAGGAGAAAGGGCCTGAGGGCCGGTGGGAGCAGCTCCAGCGGGGAAGGGCCCGAGTGAGGGTGGGAGCCCGAGTGAAGGGGGGTGGGGAGTCAACGGGCCTGTGGCCCGAGGGCTTTGCAATATTTTATGTTTTTTGTGTCAGAGAGAGAGAGAGAGAGAGAAGGGGGGACCGGAGCTGGGTTCGTCGCAGGGGAAGTGGGTGCGGAAGGGAAAGTGGGTCGTCGTAGGGGGGGAAAGCAGGGTGGGTTGTCGCCGGGGGGGGGGGGGGGCGGGAGCTGGGGTCGTCGCAGGGGAAGTGGGTGCGGAAGGGAAGTGGGTCGTCGCGAGGGGGGGAAGGCAGGGTGGGGGAGGAGGTAGCTGGGTTCTAGTTTTTGCAGGGGGTTCTCGGGGGTGGGAGGAGAGGTGGAAGAAATGGGTTCAGGTTTGGTTTTTGCAGGGGGTTCTCGAGGGTGGGAGGAGAGGTAGAAGAAATGGGTTCGGGTTTTTTTTTTTTTTTTTTTTTTTTTAATTGGATTAATATTATAATATTTTTAATGTATAAACTATTATTTAAACAAACAAAAAAAATTATTATTTTAATTGCCTATTGCCAGGGAGAGGGCTCCAAGAGTGGAGATGCAAATGGTAATTACTGTTCATTAATGATAATTACTATTTATTGATGGCAGTTACTGTTCAATATGGTGAATTCAATAGTGGATTGCGGCTCTATGGGTGGTGGAGTTGCTCTAACAGTCGCACCACAAAGTTTCAAAACCGCCAGTAAAATGACAGCCACTAAACACCACCACCTATATAATCCCCATTTCTCAAATTTCAACCTCCCCAGATCTCCCTACGCAACCACCATCAGCCTCAAAGACTCAAACTTACCACACATATCTGTACACAAATTCAATGTCAGACCCAAAAGCAAAACCCAGAATAGTGTGCTGCATCGGCGACACCCATGGCTTCCACACCAAGCTCCAAAACCTCTGGTCCAATCTCCAATCCGCCATCGACCCATCAGATTTCTCCACCGCCCTCATCATTTTCCTCGGCGATTACTGCGACCGCGGCCTGGACACCAAAAAAGTCATCGACTTTCTCGTCTCCCTGCCCTCCAGGTACCCGAATCAGAAGCACGTCTTCCTCACCGGCAACCACGACCTGGCCTTCGCCGCCTTCGTGGGCGTCCTGCCGCCGCCTCCTGACGGGTCGGAGTTTTCCGAGGGGTGGAAGGAGTATGCGGATAGCGAGGATAGAGAAGGGTGGTTTAAGGGAGATGGGTACGAGAGGATGCACTTGCAGGGGAGGAGATGGGGTGGCAAGATCAAGGCTAAGTTTAATGCGGCTAAAGGGACAGAGTACAAAGGGTCAATTTATGATGCTGGGCCCACATTTGAATCCTATGGGGTCCCACATGGTTCTGCTGGTATGTGTTTCGAGTTTTTCTGGTTTGTGTGTGAGATTCATGGGTTTTTTGTTTGGTGTTTTGGGTTTCTTTTGTTTTGGTTTGTTTGATTGGATTCTCTGTTTGTTGATTTGATTCATTTGATGCCAATTGATGTTTCTGTTAATTGTTAAGTTGTTTTGTCGGTTGGGATTGTTTATGTAGGAAAGACTTCTGCTCAAAAGAGCTTCTGATAGAAGTGATTTTATGATAACATATCAAAGCTTTTATTAAAAAAAAAAAATACTTATGGAAAAGCAGTAAGCACTTGAAATTGCTTCAGCGCCTAGCAGCTGCCTCTCCAGAAAACTCTTCCATCTCAGAATCGCTTCAAATTTTTTTCTCTCAAAACGTAGACAGAAAAACTTTTGGTTGTCGGAATGCACCCTTCCACAAGCAATCTAAAACAGGCCTAAAAATTATATGCATTCCAGTTCTGTTCACTAGCAATTGACAAATGCTAAACTTTGTTAAGTTGTGGAAGTACCATTGTGTTATTGACTTATTAGTATTCGCAAACGTGGATTCAGGCAGTTTGCTAAGGCAATGTTCCCGCCCCTTGCATCCAAATGTGAATCCTCCTTCCCGTAGATTAGAATAGTTTAGAATATGGTCTTGTCAATAAAGAACTTGTTAGTACTCGGTGATTTGGTGACTTAGTGTCATATATTTACAATCCAGCTGTCTATCAGACTGGTTTGTGTGCTTTATTTGCAAATTCAATGCTGTGGCTTTGTTATGTAGTTTTGTGTTGAAAGAATGATTGTTATGGGCAGATTTGGTTAAGGCAGTTCCTGATGAACACAAGAAGTTTCTTGCTGATATGGTTTGGGTCCATGAAGAGGTGAGGCCTGTTCTATTTGCTATCTTTTTTTTCGATGAACACTAGAGTCGTTGTGTAAGATACTAAAATGTGAGAAAAAACCTTAAAATTTCAATTGGTTCACTTTCCGATTCTTTTTGTGTGTCATGGAGCAGAATGCAGTAGTTGAAAACTGTAGGACCAAATGCTGACCTTAGTCGGTCTTGATGATGTGCATTTTTTCCAGGATGATGTCTGCATAGAGACTGCAGATGGAATCAAACACTGTAGATTGATTGCTGTCCATGCTGGTTTAGAGAAAGATAAAGATGTCAAACAGCAGTTGGCGTTTTTGCGAGCCAGAGACACCCGGGTGCCTAAGATACAGGCTCTGAGTGGGAGGAAGAATGTATGGGATATACCAAAGGTAGTGGCTTTCTACCTCTTAATATCAGCAATCCTTTTTACTGAAACGTTCGCTGTTTATTGTCTGATGATTTTTGTATTTCCTACGTTCGTTAGTTCTTGATAAAGATTTTATCTTTTGTGGGTTAACTGAGATATGATATGCAACCTCATACAATAAAATGCAACTGAAATCAATAGATATCGGTGTTTTGGTCCTGATAGGAACTGACAGAGAAACCAACTGTTGTTGTAAGCGGTCATCACGGGAAACTTAACATTGAAGGCCTCAGACTGATCATCGATGAAGGCGGTGGTATGGCGGAAAGACCAGTGGCTGCAGTTGTGCTCCCCTCTGTGAAAATAGTCCGGGATACAGATGCGTTGACCAACTAGAAACTGTGTTACAATTGATAAGCATAGGTTTATAGCTTTTACTATCTGTGCGCAAGTTTGTAAACTAGAAACTATGTTGCTTAAAAGACAATGGCAACGCATATCATACATGAATTTACAATTGAATGACTCATTGTCAATTTGGCGCTTCAATTATCTGACGATCGACGGATGAAGAAGGTATATTCCATTTTGTGAGGATCGTTCACTTGCGGTCCATTTTTTAAGGTTAACTGAAAACAAAGGTCATGACTCATGAGAGTGACTTTTGTTAGAGAGAGAATGATAGGAGAGAGAGACACACACACAAACAGTCACAGATAGGCTATAAATGACTGGACTAATCACTTTTATTAAAAAATTCAATCAAAACTAGTTAAATTATAATTTCACGGAATTGTTATTGGCATTCTAAAAATCTCATTATATATTTCAAATTTTCTATACTTGGAAAGAAAAATATACTTGTGAGGAGTATAGAATGAGATGTTTGGAGTGTCAATAACACTTTCCTAATTATAAGGTGATTTAAATTCGTCTTTGGCGAGAATTGAATATAATACCTCACTTATCACGGGGTGACCCAGTAATTGAAGACGAATTTCAAGTCCTTATTTCACATGGCACGTCCTGAGTTCGATCATTGATTAATCACACAATAGTGGTCAGTGAGACTAAAATGTCTTTGTGAATCTTTCCAGTTTCTGAAAGGGTGAACTATTGTGACGAAACTATCAACTAATCACTTTTATAAAATATTCAATCAAAACTAGTTAAATTTTTATCAAAATTCCAGAAGGAAATACAAAAATTCATTTGATTCCAATAAGAATGTAACCTATGTGAAAATAATAAGAAATGGCAACAAACGGGCAAACAAATCTGAAAAATATCCCTTCTCTCCCCCCCCCCCCCACAGCCTTTCGTTCCTCATCCTCCTCCAAGGATTTGTATCCTCTCCTGAGCCAATGGAGAGGATCCTCCTAACCAATTATTGTAGACCGTTAGATGAAAATCCAACGGTTATAATTATTATAACTTTAAAATGATCTCTTGTTTGTAACCGTTGGAGTTTTATCCAACGGTCCACAATGATTGATCAAGATCCACAATGATTGATCAAGAGAATCCTCTCCATTGGTCAGGAGATGATCCAAATCCCCCCTGCAACATACCCCCCATTATTTTATTGTTTAATTTTTAAATTACCAAATATATACACACACACGCACTAAATAAATAAATAAAAGTCGAAATTCCATGGACGATCGAAAATTTAGAGGAGAAGCAGACTGGGTCCCACCAACACATCCCCATGCAACTCTCAACTGTACACGTGGCATCCAGCGGTATTCAACAAAATACTTGGTTACTCTCACTCCTCCCTCTCTCTCTCCCCCCGATTTCTCTGTTGCATCACTCACTCACTCAACGTTTCTCCCGGGAGGCGAGTTTCGAAACTCCGCAAAACGAAACGGCTGCTGCTGCTGCTTCGAGATCGATCGATCCTTCTCGCGCGCTTCGGTCGATCTGATAACGAAAGGAGGAAGAAGAAATGGTCTCGACTCTCTCGGGGATTTGCTTCCCTCTCCTACCTTCCGCCTACACCTCGCATTCCAGCTTCAATGGCGATCGGAGGACCTCCGGCCTCTCTCTCTTCCTCTCCAACACCTCCTCCTCTCGTATTCCCTCTCTCTCCGTTTCTTTTTTCGTTTCGAAAAAATTGATATTCGAGTTCGATTTCTCTGTTTCAATCGGCTGCTTCGATTTTCTGTTTATTTTTCAGTAATTAATTTTTTTTTTTGTTATATAATTAGTATTATTATTGTTTTTTAATTTTAGTTTTTGAAGTTATGCGTAGATTGATTGATTGTTAGTAGTCACCCTCTTAGAGATGGAGCTTACTTGGATATGCTGTGAGCTTTTTTGGAAGCTTGGAACAGTAATGGAGACTTATGCTTTTGAAGAGGACAAAAAAGCATATGGATTTCGATTACGGATTATATGGACGCAATGCCTATGCTTTTTTTGTGTCCGATAGCAATTTTGAATTTAATTCTTGTTAAAAAGAATTAAAATTTTAGAAAAAAGGCATTGTTTTAGTCGATTTTGTGCTTAAGAGATGAATTTATTAGCTTAAAAATGATTTCTTTCATTATTATTTCATACTTTTTATTCGATGTTTGTGGTGTGTGTGTGTGTTAAGCTAAATTGATGCACGTTTGCAGGGAAGATCTTTGTTGGAAAGCCTTCGTATGATTCTAATTTGCCATCTTTAGCGGTTGCTGCATCGAAGAAAATGCTTGTTCCTGACAGCCAGAGTGATGGCTCTTCGTCTTTGAAGAAGGAGCAGTCGGGAGCTGCAAGTACAGTTCCAGAGGATCCTCAGGTTTATGATACCCATCTATATGCATACCAGTTATGTTCTGTGGTATCAATTAAAATATTATGCTTTCAATTCAAAGGTTTTATTGGGTGTGCAGAATGCCGTAGCTTAGTCAATTTCCTTGTGACATCTTGGAGGATCCCTCATAACATATTGTTGTACTGTGTATGTATAATTTTTGTTTAGGTGATTCAGGACGTAGATAATGTAGCAAAGGAAGATAAAGAGAAGCTTGAGGATGCCCCTTCATTAGTTGTGGCCAATGTTGATGACGCTGAAGCCAAGGTTGAGGACACACCTCGTCCCTTAGAAGTTAAAGCAAGTACTGCTACAAACAAAGCAACAGGAAAGACAATTCCACCGCCTGGCAATGGGCAAAAGATATATGAAATAGATTCACTTTTGGTGGGTCACCGTGATCACCTTGATTACCGGTAGGATGCCCCTTCATATTTTAGTTTATGATTATAATACATATACAACATGAATGGATGATGGCCTAAAATTGAAAAAAGAGTAAATAAATTGATTAACAGCAATGTCGCTACCCCTTTCAAGCAAAAGGGTACATGGCAGCTAGCTGGTTAGTGTAACAAGTGCAAGATTATTTTTGCTCCTTTAGTGCACTGAATTATGTTTCTTTCTTTTTCTTATTTCCGGTTACAAATCCTTCATGCTTTGCTTTATGTCCAAATTAGGTTCATAAGGCTTTAAGTAATTTTGTTTTACTATGGTCAGTTATGGACAATACAAAAGGCTGCGTGAGGAGATTAACAAGTACGAAGGTGGTTTAGAGGTGTTTTCTCGTGGCTATGAGAAGTTTGGCTTCACACGCAGGTATTACTTTTGGCTTTATCTTCTGGAGTCCACGTATGTTCCATGTTTTTTGAGTAGTTTACAACATTGAATACGTACCACATTTTTAGTTGTTTTTTATTTTGATATGGAATAGAAATTAATAGGCAAATATGCTAATAGGGCGTCGATGTATAAGGTCAGATAGATCATAGAGCAGACGAGAGAAAAGTTTTTCCTTTGACTGTTTTGAACTGCATACTGGCGTTATATTAAATATTGTGTTACGATTAGCGATTTCATGCTCTCATCCACCTTATTGTGGCAGTGCCCTTTATCACCTTCTTAGCTAATTATTGTCCTTGTTTACATCTTTGTATTTATTCTGTGGGTAATATCTTTTGTTATTTTTTATTTTAGGGTTCCTTTTTCAATTTCCCATAGTAATTTCCATAGTTTTTGGTTTAAAACTAAATTATAATTTGTCAAATCTTCAATGCTGATTATTATCTCTACTGGTTTTTCAGTGCCAAAGGTATCACTTATAGGGAGTGGGCACCTGGAGCAAAGGTTTGTTTTCCTTGTCTGCTGTTTTAAGGATTTTACTTTTTGCAGTTAGTTACTCTCTGTATAAGGGTGACTTATTGAGACCAACAATCATAGACACGATGTGCTTACTAAGATCCTTTCCCCTTATTTTGTTGTGAGGAGTATCTTGTCATTTGATGGAAGGTTTTATTTGACCAGTTTAGGTACCTTAATAAGGTTTAATCTCATGGTTGCCGTTTCTTGTTGTCCTTTTCAGTCAGCATCACTGATTGGAGATTTCAACAATTGGAACACGAATGCAGATGTGATGACTCAGGTATGTTTTTGGAACTGTAGCAGTGGGATTTCCAAGATAGTGGACAAATGAATTACATCAAGCCACATGATTAATATTTTTTGTACAACATCATTGCTCATGTACCATATGTGAACAGAATGACTTTGGAGTCTGGGAGATCTTTTTGCCAAACAATGCAGATGGCTCACCTGCAATTCCCCATGGTTCTCGAGTGAAGGTAATATTTTCTGTGGATAATTGTATGTCTGGTTTTGCTGCTCTTTCTCTATTATTGTAATGCTTCATAATCCAGCGAATAAAAAGAGGACTTATTTTCATCCAAGTAATCCTTAACTAATTTGTCTGTTGACTTGTCTGTAGTGATAATTTCAAAAAAGAGCTTGGTTATACACTTTTTTAATTTGTTCTCTTCTAGAAATTTATGTGGAGAATGAACAATAGTTTCAAGGCATACTACAATTGCAAGTTTTGTCCATCTCATGTTATTGCAATAAGATAAATTTGTGTGGTTAATTCAGTATGTTATGTGAAATTGCAGGTCCGTATGGATACTCCTTCAGGCATCAAAGACTCGATTCCTGCTTGGATCAAGTTTTCCATACAGGCTCCAGGTGAAATCCCATACAATGGCATATACTATGATCCACCAGAAGAGGTATGTTCTTCGGAAAAAAAATCAGTTATGCTTGATACTGGTAGGGATGCCGGGGCTCTGGGTAGAAGAAAGGCTGCAGTAAGGTAGAAATTAAACCATAGGATTGAATCAAAATTGAGCAAATGTTTGTGATATTGGAGAGGGAATGATTCCCAAGTCATTAATGATTCTTAGGATTCTTATACTGGTTCTTTGATTTATCATAGGTTTCAGTTGGGAATCATTCCCTCTCCAACATCACTTCATTAATTTTATGAAATAGTTAAGACAGTAAATAGGTTAGTCTGCTTCATTTACATGTTCATGTTTCCTATTGTTGTTCAACTCTTCAATGGGTTAATGATACTCGCATGCACTTCTTTTCAGGAAAAGTATGTATTTCAACATTCTCAGCCGAGTAGACCAAAATCACTTCGCATTTATGAGGCACATGTTGGAATGAGTAGCACGGTGTGGATCGTAACCCTTCTAGC